GGGGGGGGGGTGTACTTCCATCGATAGGATGAGCAAAGGGACTGAGATGAGTTGGGACGGGTGAGGGAAAGCAGTAAACCACTTCTCTGTATCAACCCCATATCCTACCACGTCCACTTGCAGCATCCCTCCCATCGCGGTGATGATAATCTCAGCCGCCCGGCTGTCCCTTCCTATCCCGCTGCTCCCTTGGTCGTGGCCGCCGTCGTCGTCATCATCGTTGTTATTGTTGTTGTTGTTGTTGTTGTTGTTGTTGTTGTTGTTGTTGTTGTTGTCGTCGTCGGGGGGAGACGACAAACCCCTTTTGGCTATCCGCGCTAGCGCTAGCGCCCTAACGCCGGCCAACCGGCGAGGCTCGGCCACGCCCGGCTTGACCAGCGAGCTGGAGAGGTGAGCCCATCTAGGCGGCTGGGCCTGTTCACGCGCTCGACATGTGGCCGTGGTGTTCATCTTGCCACGTGCCACCTGTCATTTGGTGACGTGGACGCCCCGCAACGCGTGAACAGGGGAAGCGCCAACCGTGATTGATTGGAGGATTACTGCACAAAAGTGGTGCGGCTCTTTGAGTGAGCCATGACTACCATGGAGGAGAATTTGGAGAGGGAGCTACATATTGGAGCAAACGAATGGCTGATTAGCTTGGAGAATGGATGCAGATGGCAACAAGAGATTGTGAGGAACATGTCTTTGCGGCTGCAAAGCGAGCGAAGGGGGAGCGATCGCTCTGGCTGGTTGGATGAAGGACAAAAGTGAGGACATGCTGGCGATCGTTTGGGAGCTGGAGGAGGGGCCGGATCCTCGGCTTGACGTCTACATCGATTGGAGGAGGGCAGATGGCATCATGTCAGTCTGCAAAACCCTCTTCAATGAGGGTCGTGATCTGTATGCTCTTCAGGAAGACTGGTTGGAGGGCATTATTGATCGTGAGGATGCGCACGAGGTAACAGCGGTACCATCAAGATTAACAACAACATCAATGGATGGGTGCGACAACAACAACAGCAACAATGATAACAGCGGTGAGAACACTAACAACAACAACAGCGGCGAAAACATCATCATCAACAACAACAACAACAACAATAACAATAACGATAATATCAACACCAATGACGACGAAGACGACAATGACGACTATGGAAGCAGCAGGGCTGACAGCTGTGTCCGGGCAGTTGCGATCATCAGTGACACGATGGGGGAGATGCCGCAAGTGGATGACGGGGAGATTGGGGTTGGAACGAAAAAGGGGTTTGTCATCTCGCCCCCTTCAACGATCGGTGAGGACGATGACGGCGACGACGGAGTCCACGACCAAGGGAGCAGCGGGGTAGGAAGTGACAGCCAGGCGGCTGAGATTATCATCACCGCGATGGGAGGGATGTTGCAAGTGGACGTGGTAGGATATGCGGTTGATACAGAGAAGTGGTTTACTGCTTTCCCCCCCTTCAACCTTCATACGGAGTTCCTCCTCGTGGTTTGGCGGAGGATAGGAGTAGGATAGCTGGGGGTGATTGATGTTGCCCGGCGTGCAATACCAATCATCAACGGGGGGCTGATGGTCTTGTTGGGTGGTGGTGGGATATTTAGTGACGAGTTAGCAGGATGTCAATCCTTCCCTGCGCAAGGAAGTAATCAACGCCCCCTGACAGTTTCACATGATAATGCATATTGGATACTGGACTGGACGTCCAGATCATACATTTCTCATCATTGATATAACTTTTTAGGCTTGATTGATAAAAGATCATATACATCATATAGTGCTTAGGGTTTTGTGATTACACTTCGATAGATAGAGAATATGGACATATGTAGATAGTTTCTGCCTGTTGGACATAGTTACACAACACGACATAGGGACGTTGGACCCGTTTTCCAGCAAATACAAATCACATCTCAGTACTACACATCACATCATGGTTAGGGTTTCATTCGATTGGATTGATGCCTCAGTTTGTTTTGGGGACTCTATAGACTAGATGGACGGGGACGGTGGACCCATTTTCCGGCACATATATTCACATCATTGCACACGGACGCTGGACCTGATTTCCAGCAGATACATTTTCATCATTGTACAGGGCGCTGGACCTGATTTCCAGCAGGTGTAGCTCCCCACCAATAGATGGAGCCTTCAACGCCGGGGCCTACTTACCGGGGATGCTCTTATCACCTCGTTAAGTAGGCTTCCCGTATACGAAGTTGGAAAAAAAAAAAAAAAAAAAAAAAAGGATGGCTAGCAGGGGGATTGGGATGGACGGATTGAGGATTCCCATGGGTGAACGAACAGCCTGGATGGGGGTAGGAACGGACCGGATGGGTGGTAGATGGGCAGGGATGGACGAATAGAGGGTGAGGATAGCCGCGCAGACAGAGTGACACAGACTGGTCAAGGATTTGCAGGGCGGAATGGACACTCGCGATGGGGGCAGGAAGAGACGGGATGGGTGCTGGGTTGGCAGGGATGGATGGATGGACGGCGAGGATGAGCGGACAGGTCATGTGCATGGTTATCGAATGATTAAATATATTTAAAAAAATGGAGAATCGCAATAGGTGGGGATAAGCGGTGAACTGCTTAGAATGGAACTGAGATGGTGTGGGTAACCAATCAGTTCAGTTCATACCAAAGGCAACGACCTACTGGCAAATGAGCATCGAGGTATGCACACTTGCGTTACCAGGCACATTTGCCACTGTAGCACTGACGAATCTGTGACGATTGATAATTGATACTAAATAATGAAGCCACAGCCAATAGTCTTACCACTAGCTGGAAAACTCTCTCTCTCTCTCTCTCTCTCTCTCTCTCTCTCTCTCTCTCTCTCTCTCTCTCTCTCTCTCTCTCTCTCTC